CAAGGGCAAAGGGATCCTCCAACCCTGGTGGTTTCCATGGGCACGCTAATCAGATGTGAAACAGCCTCTCCCTATCCGAGTCATCACTCCCCATGCTGTGAACCTGCGTATCTTCTCCCATTTGAGATGTAGCAAGAAAGTGAGTGAGGAATAAGGAGGATAGATACGTCACTACTGGGGCTCCACTGCAGCTTTTAAAGCCTGAGGGGACATGACTTCTCCCCGAAGCACACACAGGACACAGCTATTAATGGAAAACAGTAGCAAACATTGCATCAGGCTGCTACTTGTAGACATAGCACACATTCAAAACAATAGCCCTCTGAACAAGACTCTGATACTCCTGCGCACTGTTTGTAGTTCAGTTACCTCACTTACATGCTTCCAGTAGCTTCTAGTGTAATGTAAAGAACACTTCTTTTGCCAGGACATGTTCTTCCTGCTACACTTTTGTTTGTCTTGTAATGAGAAATGGTTATGGTTATGGCTAATACATTTTTTGAATTCACACAGTAAATGACTGGGATCTTCCAAACAGTTTTTATGCGATTTTCCTATGAACATTTTAATATATGTTTAATCACATAAAGAATATCTCCACCCTTTAATATACTGATGTCATACAGGATATTACAACGATTTACATACTTAGGTAGACAGTAGCTTTTAATGCAGTCAATTAGCCTAAAGTTAAACTCTGCATGAATGAACATTTATTATTTTGCTTTTCTTTCTACACATCTCTTCATTTTCAAGAGTGGCAAGTGTACATATGTTTATGAGACAGAGACTCAGCTAGGATCCATGTAGCAATCTGGGAAGTCAAGGAGACCCATGCTATTAGCCAGTGGTCAATATTTAAACCCAGGTCTGTATATGTAAAATAATCTCTGAGGGCATGTTACATTTATGATCAAAGTCATACTGCATTCTTTGAAATAGTTATTGTTGTCACAGACTTATAATGGTATAGTATGGTACAGAATTTAGTTGTAGCATCAACTGACTGTAAAAATTACTGATAAAGGAGCAATAAAACAGGCCATGACTTCTTGATAATAAGTGTGATTTCCAGGCTGTTGCCAGAGGCTTTGAATGAACCACTATCTACTCAGTCCTTGGATACCATCAGTCATTCTTCCCACTGTGCAGTCGTCACAGCTCTCAAATCTCGTGTCTAACTTGGAGCAGCCTAACAACAGCCAGCTGTGCAGAGCTTTTAGCCATGAGAAATATCACTGATCCATGATGGCGCCTATACAGGTTTGACATTAGTGGAGTCAGTACTGTAAAGCATAATTATTTAATTTCACATTATATTTCCCTCCCTCTTCAGTTCATGTTTTAGCTGCTGAAGAAGGACCTGGCTGCTTTTTATGACATCGCACAAGCATTAGGGCAATGCCATATATTGTTTGCCCTTGCTTTGTACAAATTGAGCATGAAAGTAATTAAAGCACCTGCATACTCAAAGAAAATAATATTTATTCTGTGGCATGGCAGCTTGTTCATAAAAATGTCCACTCACATCTCGATCAGGAGTCTGCCAAGACTACTGCTGTAAATGTACCACTTAATGCTCAAAGAGAGACTCATAAATCACTTTAATATCGAAGAAAAACAGAGTTTTTTTTCTACAATATCTGGGCCTGATTAGGTTGTAAGGAGAGCCCTGGGCTTCAGGATAGGGTCTGCTGATCTTATGAGGGCTAGTTAACCCGGGACCCCCCTGCCCACTCAGTGTCCAAACATTAAGATTACGGAAACGTAGCCTGCTTCCTGTATTATTTATTTGTATTCAATCAACAACAATAATAAAAATGTACACTAGAAAAGTAATTTGCCAGAAGAAAATTTATGAAAAGGTTTTGAAACCTTTATGTGCTCAGATAGCCTTTCTTCCTGACCGCCTCCATTATTTTTCTGTACCTTGCCCCGTCTTTTACCCCCCCCACCCCCATTGCTTTGCTTTCTTCCCTTCACTGCATTTGCTCTCAAGAGAGGATCTAAGTGAGTAGATTTATTCATTCAAAGGGTTCTGAATTACATTACACATCAACCCAGAAGTCACATATGCCAGAGTCTTCAACAGTCAAGCTCTCTGGAGAGTTAGCCCAAAGGTTAGCCTTTTATCCCTAACAAATGAGTTATGATTGTTTCCTCTGTCTCTTCCTTAACTCCAACTTCTAATGCAAAAATGATTCATTAGATTGGATAATATACAGATGCATAGTGCTTTATCTTATTTAGAGCCCATTATGCTTTCTCTTTACAACTTCTTGGTTATAGATATGCCTTATATTATCTTCATGCTGGTGTAGTTTATATGTTTTACAATGCCAGATCTAAAAGTCACTTTTGATGTATAGGTGTATGTTGATTTAATAGTTTCATGAATGCTTATCGTCCCACTTTCTATTTTGACGGTATACATTGCCCAGTGTTATTTTATGCCTGGACATCTGGAATAGTTTAGCTGCTTTTGTTTTCCACACTGCCACCCTAATCATGTCTGCAGGTAAAAACAACTTCTTCACATTAGACTGGAGTTATGATTAAAAGCTTCCTTGTTATGGTTGGTTTAACTAAATAATCAGTACACCCTAAATGGTGTTTGAGGTCTATAGAAGATTTTAATGAGTAGCCTAGCCAGGCCTGTAACTTTTGAATTAGTGTCATGTTAGGCCTTCCACTGCAGACTGTATATGCTACAGTGGTACCTTTGCTCTCAGCCCCAACAGTACATAAAAGTTTAATGTGAAATAATGCACCGCTGACAGCACTCATAAAATCTCTCCTTTTCAAACATGCCAGTGCCTGTGCCATCAGCATCACACATGGGCTTTACCTGTACAGCTCTCAGCCAGTCAGGTGCAGTTTGTATGCTTGTATACATCTAAGGGAAGGTGTGTGTGTGTATGTTCGCGTGTGCTCCTGGGCCAGCTGCTATTGTTTTCATCTTGTGCGTCCCATGGTGAAGGCTACAAGAATATTTCCAAACTGTAGAAAACTAGCTTTGATTTCAGGGACTGTGATAGAACAAAATCATAGAATAAGTACTGTTTAAACACCAGAGATAAGTGTTACACAGCAAAGGCAAGCAATTGGCCTCCAGGTGAATTATGAATACCACATGTCTACAGCCTGAGCCCGCTCTTGAACCGGAGTACTGTTCAAATATCTGTAACTGAAGAGGACTGCTAATACAACGGACAAAAGGGCTCTGATGTTGAATATCACTATGAGTATGACTGCTGAGGTGAGATGCCTGTTGCACTGATTTGAGCAGTTATGTCCATAAACAGGACCTGCGCTCCCCTCCCTGATATGTCATACTTCAGATTTGTAATGACAGGTGCCGGTGCAGCTACATGCTTTGTGTGCCTTTTCCACAGACACAGATGCCTGAGAGAGAAAGCCCACTGAACTGGAAAAGCGTTTGTCTCAAGATGAAAGGCTTCACACCCACTGCCTACATGCAGAGCTCTTCCGACACCTTCCCGCGACAGCGCATACTGTAGCAGAGGCTTGTGCTACGCAGAGACAATCCAGCTAGCATCCCTCCCCACACCCAGTAACGCTGCAACACACTTGCATCTCTCCTTCTCGATTTCCCTTTCTCTGTCAATGAATCCGTGGTACTACAGTAGCAGCCGGGAACACAAGCACATAAGCAGCATGACTGGAACAACACTGAGGGAGATCAGCTCTCTGAAAGCTCAAGGCACAGCAGCCTTGTTTTCCCCATCTCTGTTGCGGCGTGGAGGGCTTTCTGGCGAGGAACATGTTTAGCCACATGCAGGGCGTGAAAAACGACACTGACCATGATGCTAGATAATTGCTTCCCATTTACTCATGTGCCGATAGCACCAGACAAAAATAGCATGTCACTGTAACGGACGTGCTTGGAAGCATGGGAACTGGGAGTGCTGTGGCTAGTGATCGATAAACAGAGTGGACAGCATCTTAGCAGCATCAACTCAACACAGCATGCCACACTGGGTCCTATCCAACAAAAATAAGACACGATATTATGAGCACCTGAACTTAGGCCACATTCTCTGATAACAGCTCTGACCAGTGGGTTGTGTCTATAGAAAACACACAGGCAGCTCTGTGTAGGTCCAGACTACTGAGTTTGGTGGGTAGGTGATAATCCCAAAACTGCCTCAGATATTTACACAGGTTTAAGTGTTGTTTTTTCACACTACAATGATACCTGCATCACATCTCTGGATCGTCCACTGCTCTCTAAACTATGCTCAGCGCCACATTTCTCAGCTTTTTTGACCCATAGAGCATTTAAAAATTAGACAAGCCAACACAATTTTGTCAGTGATCCAACCGTGGTCGCAACGTAATGACTCTAAACAAAAAGTTGTACTTAAACTGTATTTATTTAGATTAAACCCTCTGCACATTACCCATATGAGGTAAATGTGTTCCTCATTCATGAATACAACAAATACAGTATTCATTCAGCTCAGACAGCACACCTGCACATATGGGTGCTGTGTAGCTCTACTGCATGTCATGTAAGAGCTCTTGGTAAAAGGGAATACATCAAGCCATAAATTAATCAGATTCTCTCCATTTGTCACTCCACCTCCCTGAACATGTGCTATACATATCTTAACATTTCATAAGAGTCACAAGCATCTCCCATATACTGCTACTCATATTAGCATAAAGACCTCTATTATTCTAACCCTAATTTACAGAGTCATACCATGAAGGTGAGGCACAAAAAGGATACCTCTAAGCTAGAAGCTACAGTGAAATTGACCAGAAAAGCCAAGACAGTACATTATTAGAGAGTATAACCACTGCAGTGCAGTACTGTATACAGCCAGGTGCAGATATTTCTGCCTTTTAGAGCCCACACAAGGCTAACCATGCCTAGTAACTGATCAACTACAGCTGCCTGCATGAGCCAAAGACAAACAGGAGAGAAATAGAAGGATATAGAAAGATATAAGCTGCAACAAAGCAGTACTCACCAGCACTGGCAGAACACAGCAGAGACACCAAGAGCACAATCACCAGCGTCAGGATCTTCACATTCATTTCTGCACTCCCCTCTGGCTCTGCGCTCGTCACTTCTGATATACTGTAGTGGTGTGTGTGTGGACGAGAGAGAGGGCGAGCAGCTGAGCGAGCAGAGAGGGAGAGAGAGAGAGACTGTTTGCTCCCAGTGAGAGAGAGAAGTGACTGTCCAGGGAATGCCTGTGTATTTGTCTAAATGCCTTGTTGTATATCGATGTGTGACAGCGCTACTCCAAGACTGAAGCTCTCCCACTGACTTGCTTTTTCTTCTTATACGGCCAAGTTCACAGGAGACCTGAATGTGCTGGAAGCCAGTAGCCTATGAGTTCTGGATAATGAGACTACTTGGTCATGTGGCTTATGTATCATTGACTCTGGGTCACGGAAAAGACCCCCTCCGTCCCAGCAGCCTCTCCACCCCTTTTCTGTGACCATGCCCCAAGAGAGAGAGAAGGAGAGAGAGAGAGAGAGGTAAATGAGTTAAGGGGGAGGAGTGTGGAGGTGAAGCTTGGCCAGTTTAGCTTTGTCATAATACTCAAACTAACAGTCTTGTTGCACTTGTTGGGATTTTTGAATCCAGTTTATAGGGAAACTGAGATGAAAGAAGTGAAGGAACAAGGTGAGGTCTGTGCCTTCCTGTTTTTGTGGCTCTGATTGATTTCTCTTTTAAACGATTGGCATTTGAAAACTCTGACCAAAGTCAGGTTTAAATCATTGGGCACTGTTTGAAGTTAGTGTCTGTGACACTAAGGTGGAACCGCAGGAAATCACTTATCAGTCTCCCCAGGTCCACTGCATTCAATATTTGTTTCCCTCTGCCCAAAGTCATTTGTTTCACAAACTTTTATTATTTTCATGAACAAAAGCAGCAACCATATTGCAGCCCTGAAGCCAACTTGTTATTTTCTCACACAATAAACAGGAAAGGTTGCATTGCATTTTCTGAATTGTGTGAAGTTTTCTTATCACTCTAAGCCACAGAAAAACTTCAGGGCGAAACCGCTCTGTGTGCTCCAAGCTGAGGATTTTTTCTGGACAGATGATAAACGTTTTTCAAACTTTTCTTGGTATTTTTTTTTTAAATACACCAAACAAGTATTGATTTGTTTTTCTCTGTCGTCATCTACAGTGCCACCATGTCCCAAGTGTTCTACTCTGGACTGTTACCACTTATCTAACAAACCAGTCCTATTTAGTGAGCATTTTTGTGCCACTTCATTTTGGGTCTAAGAAGTCCCTAAAGGTTCACAGTGACACATGATGGATGGACTGCCTTTGGTCACAACATCCATACCCCCTTCTCCCCATCCCGGATCTCTATTCTATGTGCTGTCCCTAAACAGTGACTTTAGTGCTGCAGACCTGGGAAGAGGGGCCCAGTGACCCTGCACTGCAGAGCTCCTGCTTCACACAACCCGCTATTGTCTCCCATAGGCCTCTGGTCCCAGAGGGCAACATGTCTGTGCCACCCACTTGAGATCCAACAACCAGAGCACCTTCCATTTTTACATGCAGCACTTGAAGCCTTCATTTTGTGTGAAGCAATCCTCTCACCTCAGGGGTGGCCAAGCCCAGGGGCTAAAGATGCTTATCCAAGCCTGTCCTTTTTTTAGCTGAAAGATAATTCGCCCAAGTGCCTTTAAAAGAATCGCTCCAGCATTCTCTCCCATGTACACAGTGATAGAAAGCTCACATGTTTCCTCCAGTTATTATGAGGATAAATGCCATAACCCTCCAACTAAGTACTTAGGACATCAAACTTCAGTTTCATTCTGCATCCAGGAATCATTTCAGTGTGGATCAGTGCCCACAGAGTTATTAAACATTAGCAGCTAATGTTTGTGAGCATGTGATTAAACCAAAAAAAAACCCCAAACGTGCTGAAACCAGGTGCTGCTCATGATAATATGCTGCCGAGGATTTGGCAGCCATTAAAATGTCTTATGGATATGGATTAAAACATGCGAGACATTGTGGAATTGGCAACATGGACTCAAACATTTGCACTCTATTAGCTTTAATTGTCTTAGCTTGAAGCAAAGCCTGTAATGAAAATGTAGCAGATGGTGTGAGTGGACGGTGGGCTGTGACGCTGGCATAAGCCAGTGGAGGATTGTCTTGTACATCCAGCTCTGAGAAGAGACCAGTCATCTCAGCTCTTCTGTCCCAGCACAGGCAGGAAACACTTGGATGTTTACAGGAAGTGCTTGATGAAGGAATTTGGTCATTTTGGTGGCAATGACGAATTTCCCAGACCCCGGCTTAGTGCGTAACAAGAAACAGACATTCTTCAGATACTAGCTGTCCACAGATGACATAATGGCTATCTCTCCTAAAACCTCTGTGCCACCTTCCTTTGTAAATGCTCACAGCTGGGGCGTTTGTCATCAGGTGGCGTTTTGCTAAATCAGTCTCCTGATCTTGAATACTTTCTGCATTATTTACACAAATTGCTATTAATACAATTCCTGTTTACCATCCGCTTCCATATCGGGCTTTCTGAAGCGATAATGAAAAGGATGTTTGTTTGTATTGTTGTTCTAGTGATTGAATCAACATTGGCAGGTTCTCATGTAATAATTGTTTTTCTTGAACCAAAGTATAGACTTCCGCCTCTGCACATTTATTAAAATGGCAAACACAACAGAGGTTAATGAGTGAATATCTGTCTGTGCATTGGCTCACTGATGGTTGCTAATTAGTCTCTGAGATCTGATTCTGACGTCTTCATTGAAACGTTCAAAGTGTAAGTCTTCTCTAGAGATTAGAGAAGAACCAGAGCACTGTTGACTTTGTCTCAGACTTTAAACCAGTCTGATCTTCCCCAGAGGCAACTTGTGTTTAATATCTGTTATGCATTATTCACATTTTTCTCATTGGATATCTTAGCCTTGGATTTCACCTTGTATTACAAGTTTTAACAATGTCTTGACTTTTGTGTATAGAAAAAGGCCAGTAGAGGGTTCAAGGATTTAATCTGTGAAGCAGATTAAATTAGATTAAAAGCAATAGCAGTGACTATTGTCAAATAGTGCAATTTCAAATCTGTGTGCTATAAGAGGGATAAATTAATTTATAAATGAATCATCAAATGAAATATCTGACATCTGACATATTGTCACATGGTCAAAGGCTCAAAAGGTTAGCCCTGCACAATTAGGCCCCTTACTCCACTAGTATTTCTGAATTATCATGACGTATAAAGGATCCCTCTATCAAACCTCTGCTCTAGAGTACAGTGACAAAGATAAAGTATTGTATTTAATTTATTTGGACAGTTTGTCCTCCCTAATGTTTGACAGTTTGTGAACTCCATTGTGAAAGACAGTAATAGCATAAATACACATGAAAGACTTGTCTACCTTCTCTTCTTCCTTGGACTTCCAATTAATCTGAAAGTGTATCCAATGTATCCTTTATAACCAAATAGAAATGATTGCATTTTGATTATGCGGCCCTAAATCACAGTTAACTGCAGTGTTTCCTCTAAAGGCCCGAGGAGTAATCCACTGGGACTAAGAGCTTTGTTTGTGTGGGATGTCCAGTCTAATGTTTAGTGATCATTTTTCATACAATAATATGGTTGAACTTTGAGAGTAGTGAATTCCTTTTTATCAATTTTCATTTCATTTATTAAGTTGCTCTTCACCACATACATGATATAGAGTACAAACGAATACATTTACAGACAAAGCAATATACATTTGTTATCATTAGGAGTGTGTTTAACCAAAAAAAAAAATACCTTAGACAGTCAGGATGAGGTATAGAAATTTTGAATCAAATTGCACTATTCTCCAAGTAGTGTTTTGTTATACAGCAATGACGAGATGAAAGCATGAAAACACAGTGAGTAGACCCTCATATGCTGGTCAGACACAGATTCTCTTCTGATAGAATAAAACAACAAATATACGGGTTGGCTATTCAATGGGGCGCTCTGGCTCTCTTTACTGTCTAATCAGTGGCTCAGATCTTGTGAAGTTGCAGGTGACATCACCCAGAGCTCAGCTCCTCACCTGTGCTCTTTATCCGTCCTGTTGATATGTTTTGGACTCTGCTACTGAGGGACGAGTCTATGGCAGAAGGCCAGTTCCACACACTCCCTTGTACTTGTCTGACTGAACCATTTTTCTGGGACTTTTAAGTTACAGCCAAGGTGATGATCATTCACCCATGCTTGATTGTAACAAAGAATTGAAATGATTCTAAAAGAAGAGGTAGGGTATCCCTTCTTAACTGCTGTTTTTATCATGGTGTTTATCAGTCATAGAGGTGCAGTTTATAAATGCTTGATGTGGCTCCTATGGAAGCAGCCAGTTTGAAGTCAGGGCTGATTTGAGGAGGAAGGCCTGAGCGTGCCTCGGCTTGGACCTGCTGACTTACACCAATGCAGAGAAATGTGAATTGACAGATGAGAGATAAGCAAATGTTTTGTGTGACAGAGGACAGAAGCTGAAAACAGACATGAGGTGTCTTTGAAAGGCCCTTTCAGAGCTCACAAAGCCCAGGTCTGTGCTGTGGACAGAAGACTCTGAAGATCAACATATAGTGGAACCCAGTGCAATGAACCTTTCACTAAATTCACTCATGTCTTCCGCCTACAGGCAAGTTAGAGGATGCTCAGGAGAGCAGGAGGACATCTTTGAAACCTCTTTTGATTTGTGTTGTTCAGCTGCTCACTGCATGAGGACTTGTCTTCTCTGGTTGCTTATGGACAGAAAAGCACTTCTCAGAATTGGATCAATGTACAGTATGTTCAGAAAGAACAAAATAATGATTCCAATCTGTACAAAACGATTTACATGTGTGACTTCTATATCCCCCACTGTTATAACATTTGAATGATTGAAATGCTTATACATATCACAATAGCTATTGTTATGCAGACAATGGTCTCATGATATTCATTGACATTTAACTTATAGGATGGAAGCTGTATGGGTATATATATAAAAATGTGATTTACATTTCTTTTATTCATAACATCTGTCATAACAACAGTATTTTCATGAGGTGTGTGAGTAATGTGATTCTTGAAGACCTATAAATGCAAATGCAGTAAAGACACTTTTTCCATAATTTTTGCAACATTTTAAAGAACTTGTTTTTTACAAAGTGAACTTATTTTACAGGTCACAACAGCAGACTTCTTTCATTTCATGCCTACTGTTAGGTAAGGGTTACTGGTGAAAAATATGGAGACTTGCTGGCAGGGGTTTGAAGTCACAGTTCCTTTGTCTCTTATCTATCTGTAAAATTTCCCTTTGATGTCTTGTCACCTGCTCTATTTCATATTCTCTTTGCTCTTTGCGAGAAGAAAACTCCACAATCCA